CTCCCTGTCTCTATCGCCAGCTGATCGTCTTTCTTCCAGAAATTACAAATCACATCGTTTCCTGAGGTTGGTCTCATCCTAGTGCTCCCGTCTAAAAACAGTCTCACAAAAAGCAAGGGGATATGCGAAAACTACGGAATGTTTCAGGAAGAAACACCGATCGGCAAGCCAGTAGCGAAGAGCCCCGCAAAAAATCAATGCAACAATGTCTGATGGGTGCAAAGTTCATGTTCACGGGTAGATTGGGTGGGATCCATAACGGGAACTAATTTCCTGGCTAACATTGGACCCATTTGTTGGGATGTACTCTGTGGTACGGATTTCTTCTCAGAAACGAAATGAGTATAGCAGCTATATTATGAGAACAACAGCAGATGACCGACGGAAAGATTTGCAGGATCTTAAAAACAGGCGCGGAGCAGAAGAGAAGCAGGAACGGGAGGCTGTGGGAGGTCTCCTCAGAGGCATGAGGTGAAGGGCATGGCGATATTCAGACGAGTTTGGCGGACACAATAAGATTCCGAGTTTCTATTCTCGCCATGTTTCCTGGTCGCATCTCACTTTCAATTTCTCGCATTCGTACTCCTCTGTGATTTGCACCCTTCTGTTTTCTTCCCACCTTGGTCTGTAATGAACGTCCTGCGTCTGACCCATTTCACCTCTAACCTCCCTCGGTGCCATTCCGTTAGTATCCATCTGTATTGCACGTTACTGTGCATGCCCGTGTTCCCCTCCTGATTCTGCCCTTAATCGACTCCGCGAAATCCGTTTCTGCCTATCTCCCTATGCAGTTCCAGCTGCACGTCTGTCGGTCTGTCTTCACACTCAATTTTTATTTGTCTGTCCTCATTGGCACTGGCTTCGCCATCCACTTACTGCTCAGAGAATATATAGAAGCCCATTTTAGTCAATCCTCATTCGTTTTAAGGGAAATTCGAAACGGACAGACTATTCTCCGAGGAACTTGGAGAATATCATTTCTTTCTGAACTTTTCTGGGTGATGCTAAAGTATTGAGCTTCAAACTGACCTTTTCTTCCATCTGCGTAGGAGGCTCGGATAAGTCGTTGCTTTTGTCATCAATCTAGACACTGCGACAATAGCTTTTCAATAGTGCACAGAGATTCCTGAATTAAGACCGATCACTGCTGAACTGATTCCACAGTAAATGTGGAATGAAGCCGATATTTCAGAGGTAAGGTGGATGTGAGCGCACAGGCATAGCCTTTACCTATTGTATTTATATAGAAGAAGATACCTACGAAAATTCAGAAAACATGACTTTACATTTTGTACAATTTATTGAAATTGAGCAAGTTGAATGAAGCGAGGATAGGGGGAATTCCTGAAATGTCGTTCATCAATTCTAGGTGATTGGCATCTATTCATAATCTGGTCAGAGCTGGCCATCAGACCACCTGGCCATGAAACATTCTCGAGTTGAGATCGCCTTGGCAAACGAGGTTGCTGGAAGTTCTCAGGGACTGAAGAGGAACAGTGACCCACAGCGATGAAGAGCGAGATGCGGTCATGCGATCACGACTGGAACCCGACCGTGCCAAAACACCTCCAAATTGCAATTTTCGACGAATTTTCGAAATTAAGTAGTGTGGCTACCACGAATAGATACTGTTGTATCATCAGTGAAATGCGATTCATCGATTTCATCTGTCTGATAGGAACCTCACACCCACTCTACAACAAAGCGGTCTCCAAGGTGGGTCCGAAAATAATCATTCAGTAGCTCTGTCCCCGGGGCACCAGTTCTAGAGATCAACTCACTGCACGTTCCTAAGAAACTTTCCACTTGCAGAAAGAGGAAAATGATAGACGCTTTACTCCAGAAGAAAATCTGAATCTGAACATCTGGTGAACCCCTTCGCACAACTCTACAGGGTCATAATGTGGGACCCCAACANGTCAGGATCCAGTGGGCTTCCAGCTCATAATACTGGGTTCAAAGTTCAGGGTAATAGCTGTTACTCTAAGGAACTAACTCAATTTCTCAACCAAACTAACTTTTCCTGAAGAATATTACAGACTTTTGGTGCACCATCAGGTTCAGCAGAACTAACTCTACTCAGGCCATTGCAAAACTTTAAGTTCCGACGAGATTAGAACAATCGTTATTCGGAAAAAAGAGGAGTAAGGGAAGAGGAAAGAAAAGAAAAAAGGGGCTGGTAACCCCTACCACCGCCGCATAATCAATGAAGATGGGCGGCCGGCCATATTGGGTGATTCGGGTTGGTCATCACCACCAACCAACATGACCTGCCATTAATGTTGTACATTTACAATGATAATAAACATACCTGCAGCCAAAAATGCTACGGCATCAAGAAGCAACTGAATGCATAGACCAGGAATTGTACTACTAATTGGCAACTGTCCCAAATCTAGCTAGGGCCAGTCATAGGAGATGATTTTGTCAGCAGAGTGACCACCCTGGCATTGAAAATTCTTGAGAATTATGTGGTTAGATTGCTTCGCCTTTTGAGATGAAGAATCGGTCGGCAAGAGTCCAGCTTCTATAGATTCGGGTGAGGTACAAACTGTGAGAGCTGTAGGGCGTTGGAGTAAGACATAATTCAAAGTCAGAGGGAATTGTTGTCCTCCACTGTCAGTATGGCGAGTGCTGTGAGTAAGGTTAAGCAGACTCAATCAAACCCATGTAAGTGTGAAGTCAAGTGGCTCGAAGCAAAACTCTTGCCAGTTCGAAATTTTCCTGAATTTTTGCTAATTTCTCGTCGAGATCGATTTTGCTTCTCATAAAGCGTCTACTCTCTTGTCGATCAATCGAAAGCCCGACAACCCCTGATATCGTGATATTCAGTCGATTAAAGGTAACCGCTGAGCAGCTCATTGTCATCGTGCTAACAAAAAGGAGACCTCGACAGAAAACCGTGGTCATAACTTTGAGCTGAAAATTTTCAATGATGGAGTAAGTCAGTAGGCGTAAGATAATCTCCAATGCCTTCACGGCACATTTGAAAGGCACTGTTAAAGCATAGCAGCTTTTTCTGGGACGAGACGATTGTCTCAGCGTAGAAGTCTACACCGTTCAGCGCAGACTCAACCCCACATTCCTACCACGAAAAATCCTCCGAAGGTTATTTGAGTACGGATGCCAGCCAATGACTACGATTCCACTGTGACGCGACACCTTTCCCACCGAGTCCCTCTGCAAGTGAAAGTCTTAAGTGCTCGATTAAGTGAGGCAAGATTTTAGGGAGGAGATGGCTAACTGGTAAGTGAGTGATTGGCAAGACTTCGCCGCACGTGACCCTCGAGCTCACCCTGGTCACAACGCGACGTACCCCTCATACTTGCACACCGTCGTACCACAACGTCCAGGGAAGTATCGTGGGCGCTTTTACGCGACAAGGTTCGAGTGTGGGCGGATTTCCATCGTAGCACGGATTTGAGACTAGGGCTTCAGAAAATCCCGATGGTATGGTGGTGGTATCGATGAAAGCAAATTCTAGAGCTCCCCCAAATTCACATGAGAAATATAGAATACCTTTACAACATACTGTTCAGGATTCGGAATAGGCGGTCAACGTCTGTAGCTCAAGACAGTGACGACACGGCTATAAGGAGCCATTGAACTTATTTTCAGACCTCCTCTCAGTTTTTAATTGTTTATACTTTCAAAAATACATGAAAATATATGGCAAGCAAATCGTATGCGACCAAATACATATATACGTTTGAGAGATCTGCGTTAAGGACTAGACAACAATGGAAAGAATGATGGACCCGAATTTTGAGCTGAAAGCCGTGAGCTATTCAGCCACAATTGAACAAATACATCTGACAAACTCGTAATCAATAAATCAATAAATCAATACGCTCAAATGAATAATCAATAAATCAATCAGAAATCGCTATGCATTCTTGTTTAGGTTACATTATACAAATCACATCAATAAGGTACACGTGAACCGAGAGGTTCGTTACCTATTAGCACTTTTGCGATTATAAACACTGCCGTACATAACAGCGTATTCCATTGGAGCACGGTTTGAAGCGATATCCTTGCTCAACGAATCTGTGCATTGCATTGAGCTGACGTAGCTGCCCGCTTGTTCGCCGAGTATGGACCCAGTCTACTTGACCGCCCGGATGAGCACTGTTCCAGCTAGTCAATGACGAGCTGATGCGGCCTTTGTTGGGTAGCTGTCCGGGGAGAGGTGCAGCTTTGACATCGGTTCACTGAGACCGTTGACATCACGTCTAAATGTATGATTTTGAATTACGGTAGTCACAGAAAGATGAGACTTCTGAAGGCACATAATGTTTTAACCAAAGACAATTTTGTGGTCCCAAGAATGGTACTTGGGATACTGGCGGGTCGAAAAACAACTTGGACAGAGATAAGAGCTCCAAAACCGACTTGACCGACATACACGCTCAGAAAGGGCATGTTATGTCGGTCCTGTTAAGGATTCACCCTTCAAAATGAAGCAAACATGTTGCAAATTCAAACAACTAGTTTTAGTCCTTGGCGAGAGTAAGTACCTCCACAGTGTGTGACGTCGAAGTTGGCGTCTGGGTGTTTTTCACAGAAATATATTTCTTAAAATCTGCTGCGAAGGATAGGTCGTGGTGGAAGTCTACCTCACTCGTTCACTACCCCATTGCCATTCCTTCTCGATCAGTATCCATCAGTGGCTTAGGGGCACAGGTATCGTCGGCTAATACCTGATCAATCGTCGATTAGCGCATTCATGTTACCAAGTTAATATTTACCAACAAAATACATACTCGCCCTCCGTCGCCCAAACTTAGCCCTCATTTTCTAGGCCTACTAAGAAAACAAGCAACCAGAAATTCGGGGGACATTGCTAGGGTTCAACCCGTGGCTCCTTTCTGCAGTGAGGCAACACATTTTCATGGCTATGCCTCGTCGAACTTTGGACTCATTGTACCAGAGGTGCAGCTCCCTATGTACGTAAAGATGACTTAACTCATAAAGCCACTACTTTATGTACTATCTTCCTATCGTCTCCCCAATAAAGTAGCACTATACCTGCTGTCCCCATTAGCGATCGTCGTCGGTGGGCTGTACGTAGGATCCTTCACAGAACTCGACTTCCGTCGATCTCGTAGTGATGAGTTTCCGACAGCCCTGAAAATAAGCTTATGACGACCGGAATTTTTGTAGCAGAAAAACATTTCTGTGGCAAGGACACGGTAGGTAGACGGTACCTGAACGGATTTCCAAAGCGTTTTCGATGACCCATAGCTTTGACGAGTATGAGCGTATCGAGTCGTGGAATAACTCGTACACAGTTCTCAATTTCCTCTTCTGTTACTGTCACCAAGTGGCAGTTCTCCTCCTCCGATGGCATCGGACATGTACCGCGACGCGTTACCCACGCATGCACCTGCAGGTACATTTATTAAAGCCTGTTGGAAATAGGGTACTGAATCTGTCTCTTGTCTGTAATCTTCAAGCTTTTCATTCGCGTCATCTTTAACAGGATTGGCAGAATATTAGTTGAAGGACAGCCATGCGAGCAAGCATGCTTTCGGAGAGGGTTCAGTACAATTGATCATATCCACATCCTTATAAGACTCATTGAAGTGTCGAGAGAATACAGGATGCTGTTAAGTCTTACGTTCAACGATTTGGAGAAGACCTTCGACACCGTCAAGACAGAAGCGGCAATTGAAGCCTCGGAAACCAGGGTGTTTCTACTGAATATATAGGGATGCTTCGTAAGCTCCACCACAGCTTCACAACCAGGATCTCGCCACTGTATAAAGAGGTCATTATCAACGTGAAGAGAGGGGTTCGACAAGGCGATACCATTTCGCCCAAACTTTTCAGTGCAGTTCTCGAGGACATTAACATCATGCTTTATTCAAAATGAGAAGTCTTGGAAGCAAAGGTCGACGGCTCCTACTTGCATCACCTCTGCTTCGCAGATGACATCATGCTTAAAACACCGAATATCAAGATGGGGAATGAGCTAAACGAATTCGACAGCCATTGTGGTATAATGGCCTTAAGAATGAAACTAACGAAGACGATGTTCATGAGAAACGGACCCATTTAACCCTAATTCAGAGGACCATTGGACACGATTTGCACTGCAGAGGGGAGCCTGCGCCTAGAGCCCATTCTGAATGCTGCTCCTAAGGAATCATGGAAACGAGCCCGGAAAGCTCGATGTGTTCCCGGAGCGTCGTCGAGAAATGGTCAGCAAAGAAGACCACAGGATTTGTTACATCAATTGATCGTAGGTTATGTAGTTGTGTTGGCGCGATACATCGCAAATAGGTCCCAGGAATAAGCTACTAATAGCATACGTTATGAGTAAAAAGAACGTGTTGATTCAAACAGCGAATGTGAACCAATGAACTTATAAAAAACGTTTAGAGCCAATCACTAAAACTATTTACCTTGACTTCCTGTAGAAGTAATCGAAGACCAGGATCCTTTTTTAACAGTCCAAGAATAACATCTTTCAAGGGATCGCTAAGGTGAGGCCTGAAAAATGAGATTTCCATTTCGGCAAAAAGACTTCTGCGGAGTGATAGACTATTCCCGGTACTCCTTTGAACCATTTTATTAGACTTGAAAAACTCACGTCTCAGGAAACACAACCGGGTCATTCTTTATCTTTCGATGGAGGGCAATGATGTAGGGATCCCAGAAGGGCACCTGCAATTGAAAATTCGAAGATAATTATGCGTGATCTTTCGAAGGCACAGTCCATAATGAAAATGGTTTAGTTATCATCAGTACTGTAATTGCAATTGAATCTGAATTATACTTTAACAATGATTCAGACGAATCGTACGATGGTGAGCTTAGTTGATTACACTCTCAGACAAGTACGAGATCAAATGAGCAGTCTCAGAGGGACAAAAAGCCTAGCAAAGTGCGAGCGATCTTCAGTGACTCTCTTTTAAGCCGCTCCGGTAGATTCTTTTTGGTCCAGGTACTTTAGCTGATAGAGTAATCCTAGTGTCCCAAGCAGGATAAGTTGTTAGACTGAGTTGTTAGTTGGTTTTAACGAGTTCAAAATATCGTTCCTAGAAATTGGGCTCAAAATCACAGAGGCAGCTACATCCTCAGCGGGTAAAACGAAATAAGAAAGTGATTGTACTGAAAATAAATCTTACCTTCCCCACGACAAAGGCATACAACGTAATCCCTAAGGACCACATATCCTGAGCTCGGCCAGAGTAGAAGTGATTTGATCCTTCTGGAATTTTCCATCACTGTTTGATAGTTTAATCAAATGAACATGAAAATTATAAGGCAGTTATCGTTATAAGGAGGTTCGGACAGATTCCTTGGAGGGTTCAAAGCAATATATGCTGAACTTTTGGGAAATTGTGAGACGAACTTTGATCATTAGCTAAGAAAACGGTGTAAAGGGTGTATTATATGTCATTCCTGTCCCGATCAAAGCGTGCGGAGATACCAGACTAGCTGTCTCGCTGCTCGCCATGTCTCACTGCTCGTTGGTGGTATTACTGTTAGAGGGAACACCGATCACCCTTTATGAAGAATTGACGATTAAACTTAGGCTTCAGATGGAGAAGTACTCTCCCGATCTTTCATCCGTTACTACTCCCAATCGAAGGACAAACGGAAACAAAACAGCTAGTGCCTTGCACTTGTAGCCGTTCATGTTCCTCCAACTATGGTGGCGAGGGAAGAGAGCTCTCTTCCGAGGAAAGCTCACCGAGAGGTACGAAGAAATGCTTGGGAACGGAACACATTAGGAATGGCGTGGAAGAAGCCTCGAAGCCTGGGAGAAGCAGGCAGTCCCAAACAAAGTGCTACTACGAGAAGNNAGCACGGAGAACATCCATAAAAGGAGCAGGTGGTATCTTCACACGAAGTAGACATGACCAGGGATTTCTGAAGCAATGTCAGAAAGAATGAGATAGGCCGTTCTGTCCTAAACGCCAGCTAGCAGGACGCATAATTTGGGGTCGACCCTTCTTGTTGTATTACTTCAGCTCTGACGTTACACCAGTCGGTTCCAGACTAAAGGCCTGCTAGTGGTCAGTCAAAGCAGCAGTCAACAGAATAAAATCATTCAAAATAAGTAAACTGTAAATAAGTACCTATGAGCGCCTCGGGTGCCATAAAGGCTGGTGTGCCAGCAGTGCCGGATAGAAACGCGTCGATACCCTCGAATTCACAGGAGACACCAAAATCGGCTATCTAAAATGCTATTTTATATAATTTACAAGGTTTTATCTTAACGTTTATAATTCACATTTTCTACTTGAGTAGCAAGCCTACACTAATAAATAAAGCTGTGAGACTATCAAGGTACGAAAATTTCAAAAAAAAAAAAGAGCATCAAGAATAGAATGAACAACCATTGTTTTGAAGTAATGGCGAGTGAAATTCACTGAGAATATCAGATTGGAGTCTGACTGTTCATATTTCCCACGAAAATTCAGAATTGTAACGTGAAATACTGATTGTAAGAAAATGATTTCCATATGAGGGATGCAAGCTATAGTAGCTAGAGCTCGGCAAAAAAATCAATACACATCAAAATTGAATGCGGAGGTCGATAGAAAAAATCAAATCGATATATATATATATAAATACAATAAATAAATGGTAGTGCTATACGCCCGAACTTACCTTAACATGACCAGAATCGGAAAGGAGCAAATTCGACGGTTTAATATCCCGATGAATGATTTTCTGATAGTGCACTGAAAAATTCCGGTTTCATTTGTAATACTAGATCTTCGTAAGTGGTAAGAAGGCACTTTTTATCTTGAGCCTTTTGCCAATATGGATGTAAAATAAATAATGAAAAAGCGTAACAAAGATGAAAAGGCAAAAAGATTGCCATCAGATATGGATCGAGCCAAGACCTATGCGTTCAGGATACGTGCCCCGTCTTATCCACTATACTAACATCAGCACCCAGACACCCACAGACGTCAAGGTGAACAGTCGAAGCACGGTCGATCGGCTCAGGCTACGCCAAGGGAAAATCGTCCAGGAAGGAGTTTGGAAGGGGGTAGTTGGAATAGAGGCAGCATAGAGGACTTCCGCTACAGAAGTAGATGGCATCGCCGCTCGAAGTAGGAGTCCGGCGAGCATCTCAATCTTAGAATGGATAGGAGGAGTCATTTCATGAAGATAGAGAACAGTATTTCATGAAGATAAAAGGTGTTCGGGGATTTTTGTGAGGTAATGGATGAGTAGCGGGTCAGGAAAGCAACAGATTCGGTTTTGAATTCCATCCACGGCCAAACTTTTGGCCGACCATCTAGACAACTTGAAGCAAGATTCGCATCGGAAATTCAGGTCAAAAAGAATCGGTGAATAAGAAAAGCTGAGGCAAACAAATGCAAAATGAATCAGAAACGGATACCAGCGTATGAATGTCAAAGTTAGGAGAAAAACGTGCAAATAATTAGAAGAAAATTTCCAGAGATTTATGACACTCACAGTACTCTAAACCCCGTAACGTATCCCTGAAATATTTCCAGGCGCTATCCTCGTCCAATGGTTTGTCCGTAGGAACGTCCAAAATGCTGCCCCGTTCAACAAATTCGAAAACCATGTAGAGATAGTTGTCATTCGGATCATCCAACACCTGAAAATGTTATTTTTCAGCATAAAGGCAAATGAGCCCGTGCAATGTGCATATGATTGGTTGGCTTTGATCTTAGCTACGTATGTACATGCAGAGTGATCCCCTGAGGAATGGCTGCGTGCTACACAGAGCCCTCGGCTCTTACAATAACCCCCTACCTTTCCTACCACGTGCCGGATTACTGTCAGAGCTGAGTACCTGTACTGGATTTTCGTTTCTGTGCGGACAAACACCTCTCACGGTACTTTCAGGTAGGGTTCGGGGGTTTAGAGCGATATGATTTTGAAACTTCGCAATTTCAAGAATACCAACCCTTTCAATGGAAACGCTGAACCTTCCTGAGGACCTAGCCCCGTTTGCTACTCGACCTAATTCAGTCTTGAAAAGTTCTCAGCACTGAGCGTGCCACTGACTAGAC